TACAGTATATTCATTCATTCATTCATTTTCTTGTCGGCTTAGTCCCTTTATAAATCCGGTCGCCACAGCGGAATGAACCGCCAACTTATCCAGCAAGTTTTTATGCAGAGTGGATGCCCTTCCAGCTACAACCCATCTCTGGGAAACACCCACACACACATTCACACACACACTACGGACAATTTAGCCAACCCAATTCACCTGTACCGCATGTGTTTGGACTGTGGGGGAAACCGGAGCACCCGGAGGAAACCCACACCAACACGGGGAGAACATGCAAACTCCACACAGAAACACCAACTGAGCCGAGGCAAATGAATATATAAGGGAAAAACCTTACACAAAACTCTATCAGGAGAAAAGTCAAGAGGAACAACACATATTTAACGTTTGGTTGGGATTCTGGAGTTTGTAATTGACAGTTTTTCACATTCACTATGAGTTTTTTCAATACATTTAACAAGTTTCCTAAACTCTGTACACAACTCTAAACACATTTGCTGTTGCTTTGACACAACGTGCCTCCAGTTAACACCAGTTTAAAACACACAAGCTCAACCAAGACCAACAATGTGATGATACAGACACATGTACAGATGCTTTCACACAGTGTGTCAGAGCAGAGAACATCATGATCTACACACAACTCATACAGGCTAAAGTCAACGTGAACAGCAGCTCATAGTGTGGATTAAACACTCATATATTCCCTGTATTTTATTCCACCGCCAATGAGAAACAGCTTATTACAGTTATGCAAATACATAAATCACAGCAGATTGGCATGTCGGAAGCACACTCAGGTGTTGAGGTGTTTCCCATCACACGATCATCGGTTCTAGAAGAGACTCTGGAGGTTTGTGAAAGGAGCAGTGAGCACATCAAAGAACTCCGTCACCAGTGCGTCCAATGCTGTGTTTAACATGCTTTCTAGCAATATTAAAGCCATTTACTACTAATTGAACATCATAGACCTGTAAAAGCTAAATTTACACCTAAACATCATTTATTCCAGAGCAATTCCCACAATCCTGAGACACGAGTCAACAGATGCAGACCATTATGATGATCAGCGGACACGTGTGCACTTACAGCCCAGCACACACACACACACACACATGCACACACGCACACCAGTGTGTTTGTGTGTACGTGAGTGTGTGTGTGTGTGTGTGTGTGTGTGTGCGTTTTACTGTGTGAAACTTGTATCTGTGAGAGTGGGAGTGTGTGTGTGGATGCATATGAGTGTGTGTGTGTGTGTGTGTGGTTAATCTGATGTTCACCTTGTCTCCCGGGTAACCCGATTCTCCCGGTTCTCCTCTCAGGCCTGGTTCACCCTGAATCACACAGCAGCACAGATTATAAACACAGAACACACACACACACACACGCAGAACAAAACCACTATCGACACACACACACCGAACCATTGCATGCACACACACACACACACACACACACACCCTTTCTTCAGATTATAGTGAAAGAGTGGTGAGAATATTGTAGAAATGTTCAGGTTTAGTCGAATAACACTGATCAAAATGAAGATCAAACTCCTGAAGCTGTGCTCGAGGACAGAATAACTCTCTAGAAGCGGACGTGTGTTATTATCTGACACCGCTGACTCACACTTTAAAGTCTAAACCTGCGTAAGACATCTGTGTACATGCTTCAGAACACAAAAGGTTTTATATCAGGACACTGCTTGTCCAGTGAAAGGTCGTCTTGAAATGGATATTCAGTGTAAAGACAGAAGAGCTGAAGGAGAACATCCGTATCTGTGCAAAAGTCAACCCTAATTTGCATATTCACTGCAATAATAGAAATATTTAAATCACCTTATCACCTTTCATTCCAGGAGGCCCCGCCCCTCCGCCCAGGCCCTGCCAATCAGAGAAGAAGAGCTTCAGTGTGCAGCCAATGAGATCAGAGATGTGAGCTTTAATCAGGGGACGGACGTTACCTGAGCTCCCACAATACCTGGCAACCCACGCGGACCCTCAGGCCCTGAATCACCCTGAAGAAGAACAAGAAGAAGAAGAAGAGGAGAGAGAGAGAAAGAGAGAGAGAGAGAGAGAGAGAGAGAGAGAGAGAGAGAGAGAGAGAGAGAGAGAGAGGGATTAAATTTATCTGCTACAACTGCAATACTGCATTAAACATCAGTGAATACATCAGTGTGTCCATCCACTGAGAGACAGCAGGAGAACATCCTCAGCTCCTGCTCGACTGGAGAAAACCTCAGGCAGAGAAGTGCAGGCTGATGCCTTCAGATGAGCTTTATAGCAGTATTATTATCAGATTACAAGATTACCCCTCTCAGTTGCATGGATATACACTTTTCATGCACATCTTGAAGCATTTTTTGAAGTATTTTTATGCAATAATATAAAATGTGCAGAAAAATGGGTGGATGGAGACACGTTTCTGAGCACAAACCTGAATAAAAGAAGACAAATAATGTAATATTCTAAAATAACGTTTAAAAAGCTATTAGTTACTAGTTAAAGGTGCTGTGTGTGAGTGTGTGACTCTTCTGCATCATATAAACAGCAGCATGTGTGTGCAGATATTCAGAATCATGCTCAGTGAACACTCCTGTTAATCTCAAACTCAATGCTGGAGTCAGATGTGAACCGGAACAGCTGCCTTGTTTTGGTCTCTTTAACCCGCCCACTGCCAGTTTAGCCAATTATATTCCAGCACACGGGTTGCCAGATGGTGGAAAACAGCATATTTCATTCAGTCATTCAGTCAGGAAGACTCTCAAAGCATGCATATATGTCTGAAATGCGCCCTCTGGTGGACAGCAGCAGACTCTGAAATGAGATGCAGATTCAGAGTTCCACATGAGGTTATTAATGAGCAAATAATATAGATATTATGAGTGTAAACATTAGATAAGCAGGTCACACTGTAACCCTCTGTCCTAACAGCACACTACATGACGAGATATGCAGTGATGAGCAGTTTGGCTGTTTACAGCAGAGGAAACAGGACAGAACTTAAACACAGCCATTCAGAATAGAGCACTCACTGCACTCCAGCACAACACTGAGCCTTATACTCTGATGAACACACATTAAAGCTCTTGAACAGGATTAATGTAGATGCTGAATCACTGATATGTGTTGTGATATGTGAGTCTCAGTTCTGAAGTTCAGTTTCAGATGCTTTATTGTGTTCTCCAGATCTGAGCTGAACTCTCTGCTGCTGCTGTCAGTAGTGTGCTGATCAATGTCCTGTCAGACTCACATCATCAGCATCTAACACTGAATACAGCACATGAGCTGTAGCTGAGCTGATCACTGTCAGTGTTCTGCTGTTCAGCTGAAACAGACGCTGTTTCTAATATATACATTTCTGCTGTTGTCAATCTGGCAACCTGTGCTTGTGTTTGTTTTGATCCAAGAGTGCAATACCTGGTTCAACCACTGGGTGTCAAACTTACACACTGCACCTGTAAATAATAATAAATAATAATAGTAAATAATTAATAAAAATTAATAAAAATAAATGATGGAAACTAATAACCTTTTCCTAATTTTGATTGTATGCAGTAACGTGCACTTTCTGTAGAGCAGCTGTGGATCAATGAAGCGTCACATGTTGAGCAAGTCCATCAGTGAGGAAAGAATAATTAATAGTATTTTCATTTTCACCATCACCACTCATGACTGCGGTTTGACCATACAAATGTAGGCTGTTTGCCCTTTATTAGAGTCGCAGTTCAAGTTCATCCACATTGCCACAAACACACACTGCTCAAAACAAAAGAGGATTGGAGTTGTATTTTTATAGGGAACTGATTTTTAGTGATGGTTATAATTCTTTAACTGGTAGAATAATATTGAAGGAAGACAGCTGGAGAGCCACACGTTTTTGGTCAAAGAGCTGCATGTGGCACGAGAGCTATAGGTTCCCTACCACCGGTCTAATATAATAATGCATTAAATATAGCTGCAAGCAGCAATTCAGGGGCCGAGCACTTCATATGCAGAATGAGCAGAGCAGAGGCCAAGAACAGTGAGGATAGTAAAGAGCATCAGACAATGTCAAACAATGAGCTTTTAAATACAGGTGAAGTGTGTAATGTCCGACAGACAAAAGAGCTGACAGGGATAAATCAGACATGATCAGACTCGGCATGCTCCGCCGCATGGAAACACACCAATTTTATGAATTTTGGACAAACGGTTGAGAAGCCATTTTTGTTTCTCTGAACCACTAGAGGGCAGTGCACCGAAACTCTGCAGATAACCTCAGACCATAGTTGTTATAACACACACCAAGTTTAGTGTGAACTTATGAATGCACTACAGAGATATCTCCTGAAGTGCATTCTCACTGCTCTGTTACATTTGTTCGCAAGTTAAACGAAAACGGTTCGTCTAAATAACTTAAATTCCATAACATTCGGTCAGCGTGGTCCGTAGATCATGTGATTCAATTTTGGTTAAAATCAGATAAACGGCCGGACAAGTTTGATCAAACAGGTCTAGCAAAAACATCAAAATAGCGAAAAAATTCCAATTGTGTTAAAATCAGACTGAGCCACAGGAAAAAAATAAAATCAGTGATTTCAGATTGATTTTGTGTTCTGAAGGTTTGAGAATCTGCTATTTCTGATATGTTTTGTGCTGAGATTGTTTAAGAATCAATGATTTTAGGTAGCTTTTGTGTTCTGATTATTTAAAATCAATGATTTCAGGTTGATTTTATGTTGTGATTATTTCAAAATCAATGATTTCAGGTTGATTTTGTGTTGTGATTATTTCAAAATCAACAATTTCAGTTTAATTTTGTTTGTGATTATTTTAAAATCAATGATTTCAGGTTGATTTTGTGTTGTGATTATTTCAAAATCAATGATTTCAGGTTGATTTTGTGTTGTGATTATTTCAAAATCAATGATTACAGGTTGATTTTGTGTTGTGATTATTTCAAAATCAATGATTACAGGTCGATTTTGTGTTGTAATGATTTCAAAATCAACAATTTCAGTTTAATTTTATTTTGTGATTATTTTAAAATCAATGATTTTAGGTAGATTTTGTGTTCTGATTATTTAAAATCAATGATTTCAGGTTGATTTTGTGTTGTGATTATTTCAAAATCAATGATTTCAGGTTGATTTTGTGTTGTGATTATTTCAAAATCAACAATTTCAGTTTAATTTTGTGATTATTTTAAAATCAATGATTTCAGGTTGATTTTGTGTTGTAATGATTTCAAAATCAATTATTTCAGTTTAATTTTTGCGTTGTGATTATTTCAAAATCAATGATTTCAGGTTGATTTTGTGCTGAGATTATTTGAGAATCAGTGATTTGAGATTGAATGTGTGTCCTGAAGCTGTATTTGAGCTGACGCTGAAGGTGCGTTTTCTCAGATCTGTGGTTGTTGTGTTCTGACTCTGTACTGAAATCAGTCCAGAACCTTCTGCCAACAGGAGATCAATAATCCTGTGTGTGTGTCCTGGAGTTTGCTAGATGGCGCTAGAGAGTCTGAGTTAGAGACTTCCTGTTTGCTCTGGTTAATGTTGAGACTGTCCTCTATCATTGTGCCAAATTAAACAACTTTTGCTCATCCAGTTATATGCGCTGCCATTCACATCCAGCGGAAGAAACGGAAACGGAATCATAACAATAATAATAGTAATAGGAACGCCAAGGAAAACAATAGATGCCTACACACCTGCAGTGCTTGGCTCCTAATTATATAATAATTACTAATATATCTCTATGTTCTGAATAGTTTGACCAAAGTACAAAGAAAACTTTCATCTGATTATGTGAAGATATGCAGATAAGAAGCCAAATAATTGACATTTAAATAATGTATAGTATATTCAACACTCCCTGACTGAAGTGTTGTGAGAAATCCACCTTCTGACACTTTTACACTTCATCAACTAGAAGACCAGATATTATCTGCTGCTCTTACACCTTACAGCACATATATGGTAATGATATACAGTAATACACTTTAAATATTCTCAGTTTCGCCTATTTTTGTTGGTTGACTCTGTATTTTATGCTAATATTGATTATTCATTAAACATCATTTGTTTAATCAGTTGTTTTTGTTTATTTGTTATGGCCTTTTTCTTCATGGGGGCTCGTCCGGGATGTAATATGCAATATAAATACAGCATATGATATAAATATTCTCAGTTTAGCTTCTGTTTATTTATCCTAATATTGAATTTTCATTATGCAGTGTTTCTAATCAGTGTTTGTATTATTTCACTTGGGGAGATATCCGTAAGACGATAACATTTCAAAAGCCAACATTTCTCAAATCTCCTCATTGATTCATATTTCGTCCTGTTTTCCTTCATCTAACACATCCTCATATAATGCAGGGTATGAGCTGTACATGTCATCCTGCTTTGCTGGTCTTCTTGCATGTGTTCTGCATTAGTGTCTGGATCCTGATGATGCTGTTCAACATTTCATTGGTTAAAAGTGAATTTCACGGCTGTAAAACGCAGATCAGCTCCTCTCCGCGATCAGCAGAGCTCAGAGACACAGAGCAGCATCATGAAAACTCATCAGAGACGGCTGTAAATCTGACATCTCTGTCCACTCTGAGACAAGTGTGTGTTTTAAAGACACAACCAGAACACTATACACTGAAAACACTCAGAATTGAACACGTTATGTGGGTTAGTTATTAAACTTAATCAAATTTAAGATAAAATCTAAACAAATTTTCATTTAATGCAAGAACAATTTGAGAAGTTGCATTATTTAGGCTTAATAAACAACAAATACACAGAAAAATTAACTAAACTGCAGCTTAAATGAAAATACTAAACAGAATGTAATTCAGCATATACTGTACAAAAAATGGCCAATCAGTTCCCAAATCAAATCTTTATAAATAATAAAAAAACAATAAATAAAATCTATACAGTAATAAAATGAACCACATTTTAGATGTAACACAGAATTCTCCAGAAACAAATCTCCTCAGGGAACGACTGAACTCAGTTAAAGGAGTACTTTTATTAGTTTCCATTGTTTCTACTGGTTTCACTTTTTCACTGGTTTGATGAGGGCAACTGGCTCTTAAACGCAATGGGAGACGAGACTCTGACTGGTTTCCAGCAGGTTATGCTCAGAAGGCACTCATTACTGATAAAGAGAACAGGAGCAGACCTTTTAGAGAGTTTATCTCATCGTTAAACTAGCAGAAGTGAATTTAGACGCACTGTAAGTGCATCGTGTGTTCTCAGTTCAATAAAACAGGGCTTCATATATCAGACTGTGATTAACCGTGTCTCTGTGACCCTGACACAGCTCTGTGTTTTCTGAAGTCATTAATACTGATGTGATGTTGACTGAGATTGTGCTTTCATCTCTCCTGAACCAGGATATTCTGGCCAAAAGCAGAGGTTTATCAGGTTTATCTCTGCTGCTGAAGTGTTCGGTGGCTGAACTGAGGCCAGGACACACACACAGGATTATTAATCTCCTGTTGGCAGAAGATTCTGGACTGATCTCAGTTCAGTAGCAGAACACACTGCTGAAAACCAGCCATATTCTCAAACAATCACAGCACAAACCCAACCTAAAATCATTGATTTAGAAATAATCACAACACAAAATTAACCTGAAATCATTGATTCTCAAACAATCTCAGCACAAAACCAATCTGAAATCACAGATTCTCCAAAGATTTTGGTACACAATCAATCTAAAATCATTGATTTTTTTAACATTCAAAACAAAATCAATCAGAAATCATGTATTCTCAAACCTTCAGAACACAAAATCTATCTAAAATCACTGATTGTTAAACAATCTCAGCACAAAATCAATCAGAAATCATTGATTATCAAACCTTCAGAACACAAAATCAATCTGAAATCACTGACTCAAACAATAATAGCAAAAAATCAATCTGAAATCACTTATTCTCCTAAAATGACAGCACAAAATCTATCTGATATCACTAATTCACAAACCATCAGAACACAAAATCAATCTAAAAATGACTGATTCAAACAATCTCAGCACATGATCAATCAGAAATCACTGATTCTCAAACAATCTCAGCACAAAATCAATCAGAAAACAATAATGCACAAACCTTCAGAGCACAAAACCAATCTGAAATCACTGATTCTTAAACAATCTCAGCACAAAATCAATCAGAAATCATTGATTCTCTAAAAACGACAGCACAAAATCAATCTGAACTCACTGACTCAAACAATAATAGCACAAAATCAATCTGAACTCACTGATTCTTAAACAATCTCAGCACAAAATCAATCAGAAATCATTGATTCTCTAAAAACGACAGCACAAAATCAATCTGAACTCACTGACTCAAACAATAATAGCACAAAATCAATCTGAACTCACTGATTCTTAAACAATCTCAGCACAAAATCAATCAGAAATCATTGATTCTCTAAAAACGACAGCACAAAATCAATCTGAACTCACTGACTCAAACAATAATAGCACAAAACCAATCTGAACTCACTGATTCTTAAACAATCTCAGCACAAAATCAATCAGAAATCATTGATTCTCTAAAAACGACAGCACAAAATCAATCTGAAAACAATAATGCACAAACCTTCAGAGCACAAAACCAATCTGAACTCACTGATTCTTAAACAATCTCAGCACAAAATCAATCAGAAATCATTGATTCTCTAAAAACGACAGCACAAAATGAATCTGAAATCACTGACTCTTAAACCTTCAGAGCACAAAATCAATCAGAAAACAATAATGCACAAACCATCAGAACACAAAATCAATCAGAAATCATTGATTCTCTAAAAATGACAGCACAAAATCAATCTGAAATCACAGAGTGTGTGTGTGTGTGTGTGTGTGTGTCCAGCTGAAATGTTCAGTCATGTGGTGTCTTGTGAAGTGTTCTGTGATGTTGATTAGCTGTGCGGCACGCTGCTGACTGTTCCTCTGAGTTGCTCCAGCACACATCATTACTCTAATCTCATCAGAATGAAGCTGATTTGAGATCAGAGTGTGTATGTGTCTATGAGATAGCGTGTTTGTGTCTCTGTGTGTGTGATTGTTTATGTGTGTGTGTTTGAGACTCACTCTCAGGCCTGGGAATCCACTGCTGCCGGTTCCCCCGACGGGCCCCTGAAACACACAACACAACATCACAACCTGTGCATATACACACACACACACACACACATACACACACAGTTTGTTCTGTTGACGTGCACAGAGCTGCTGGAGTTACAGTAAACAGCACTTGGAGACGCTCAGGTGCAACACTGTCAATGCGAGCGCACAATGAAGAAGATGCCCAGAGGAGATATGAACGTGGAGCTGCTGACTGCTCTGCTGAACACTACTCATCTGTTCATCACTAGAGCTGGAGCTGCTGCTTGAGACATCCATGCATGTTTGAGTCACCAGCGACTTTAACAACAAGCGTGTCAACTTTACCTTCTCCTTCTGTGTTATAAGAGGGTGTCAGAAGCTGAATGTTGTGTAGCGCCATCTACTGTCAAGAAGTGATTTTGCACACTCTTCTGCTCAACGACAGGGAAAACCGACTGGGTTTGAATCCAGAAAACATCTCGAAAACGCTGACGATAAACGGAAACGAAAAGCGTACTAAAATGTACTAATAAGACAGAACGAATTAGCAGCTATATGAAAAAGTTAGGAATTGCCGTGAGATTGTGTTGGTTTTTCACATGACTTTCACCACTGTCACATGACTGTATGCTCCTGTGTACCCCTGCTTACGTCATGTGTTCTTCCTGATGGGATAGCAGTCTGACGGTGAGAAGCACTGGTGTAAACGTACAGACGGATCTACACCTGATCTATGACACCTGTGCTATGTTCATCATTTTAAACTCCTTCATGAGCCGGTACTGGGCCGTGACCTGGTGGTTGTGCTTTAGGTGATTTAGCCTAGCTCAATGTGCATATAGCACCAGATTAAAAAAATAGACTTTATTCCCTGGAGACTAAATGTAAATATATCA